AATTTTAAAATGTACATAAATATATGTATTTCTCTGCATAATTTATTGTACATTTCTGTATTGGTGCCCTTTATTTTCCTGATCTAGGTGGTCTTCTTCCCAACTTTTTATTTTCCTAAAACTTTTTCTTCTCAGCTATGCTTTATGCACCACCATATAAACATACTCTAGCCTCCCATTTAAAAGAGAAAGTAAAATAATCTGCCTTGGTCTTATGACTCTTTATTCCCAATCTCTTTCTCTTCAGATAAGCTTCTTGAAGAAGTAGTCTACACTAGGTGTTTTTACTTTCTTACCTCCCATTTCTCAACACAATTACTTTGGCTTTTTTCCTTAGCTTATCATTCACTAGTAACTCTAACTGTGAAATCTGTGTGATACTTTTCTATTGTTTTGACTCCACACTGCATAATGCTCGTGAGCTCTACTTCCTTGATATGTTTGTGTTCTGTTTTTTCTTTCTTAATATTATACTGTATTTTCCCATGATATCAAGAACTATTTTACATATTTCATTAAACTTTCATTACAAAAGGAATTTGGAAAATGTAGAAAGCTATTTGAAGATCTTACTACTCAGAGAGAGCCACTGTTAACATGGTGTGTTTTATTCCCTTTCTTGTGTGTGTGTACATCACTTATATACACATATATAAGCATAAACTAGATTTACATATACATATCTATTATATTTATATCATAAATATAACATATATGTACATAGGTACAGGTATCATATATTTTATGTAACTATATATGTTATATATTACAGTAATTTTTCTTTTTTTATTTTATTATTTATTTTTTTAAATTACATTTTAGGTTTTGGGATACATGTGAAGAACATGCAAGATAGTTGCATAGGTACACACGTGGCAGTGTGATTTTCTGCCTTCCTCCCCTTTACCTATATCTGGCATTTCTCCCCATGCTATCTCTCCCCAACTCCCTATCCCCCACTGTTTCTCCCCTATTCCAGCCAACAGGCCCCAGTGTGTAGTGCTCCCCTCCCTGTGTCCATGTGTTCTCATTGTCAACACCCACCCATGAGTGAGAACATGCAGTATTTCATTTTCTGTTATTCTGTCAGTTTGCTGAGAATGATGTTCTCTTAAAAAATGGGAACTATATTCTGAATACAGTTTTGTATTATTTTACATTTTCTTAAATATTTGCTCTTATCACTAAAAATTCATCATTCATAACTTTACAGTTATAAAGTTTTAGCACATGATATCATAAATTATTCAGTCATTCCTTGATATTTGTTTGCCTTCTCACTGTTGCAATACTTTCTTCCCTAATTTTTAAACTCCACTTACTTGTTGCCTTCCTGTCTCTTTGTGTCTTCATCATTTTTTCCCTGCTTGCCTCTCCAGTTTCATCTCTTCCTGAGCTTTCTATGCCCCATAATAACCAAAGTGCCCTACCTGGAATTTTCTAATGGTAATCAATTGTTTTCTACTTTTCATACCTCTACTTATGTTACTTCTTCTGCCTAGAATGCTCTTCCTTTCAATTGCAAAGCCATCTTTAAGATTCAGTTCAGTGCCTACCTCTGATTTAAATCTTTCCATGTATACCCATATGCCTAGTCACTAAGGAGAATCAACTACATGCTACTCAGGACCCCATTATAGAGCATGTATAACCCAGTTATACATATCTGTTAATAGATTTGCTAACCTTACTCTACTGTGAGCTCTCTGACTGTAGGGAAGAAGTATTTTATAGTGCTTAAGAGTGCACTTCCTCTAGTCATATGAACTGAATTCAGGTTTTGGCTCTGTTTACCATTTCTTAGCTTTTGATATAGGGAAATTTATCCTTTTAAAGCCTCAGTTTACTCATCTATAAAATATGGATACTAATTGTACTTACCTTACAGGGTTGATGTGAGGATTGAAGTAGTTAATATAAGTAAAGAATTTACCTATGTTCCAGGCACATAAGTCCTATATATATTTTAGTCATTATTATTAGGAATGACGTTTGATTCATCTCTTCATTCCAGTGCCCATAATGTCTGGAGTAGAGAACCAGTAAATGTTTAATGAATAAAGGAATGAATTGCCCAAAATGTATATTCATCATTAAGAGAAAGGGTCTGAGAAAATAACATCATTATTTAAGAAGAAATTAAGGATTAGAAACCACATTAATGATTGCCTTTTAGGCAGAGCTGAAGTTGTCACTGTATTTTAATACCGAGAAAAACTCCATCAGATACTTTCTACCTCAACAGATTTCTGTATTTTAACTATACTCAGAGTCAGCAATAATGCACATTTGTTCTAACATTCCCCTTTCTGATAGCATTATTTCTCAAATAGTGTCTCAGAAATTATTTCCATGTCTTATGTACCAGCCTTGTGTATTGCTATAAATAAATTAATGTAACCAGGGTATTGATGGCATTGTGCCCACTCAATTATATGTTTATCTAAAGTTCTCAAATATGAATATCAAAGCCATTTAACAGTTCAGATAACCAAGAATGATGTCAAAATTTTAAGGAAACTTGTAACATGCGATTTGTCTCATTGATTTGACAAATGTGTTGTGGGATCTCTTTAAGGCACCATGCTAAATACTATGGAAGAATCAAATATAAATAAGATTTGGCCTGTGTCCTCAGAGCTTCCTTCACACAGTAATTTAGTAGCACATTTAGTACTCCCATGGATCTGGTGGCTGTCTCTTCTTTAGATCACCAATATTAGCAGATTTGACAACTGAATCATTATTAATAATTAAAAATTAAATGTTATTTTCTATCACCCTAAATGATCACAGATAATATGTTATATACCATCTGTATACATAAAAGTGACAGATATGTATATGCTTTTACTCTTTTTTTCTAGACCTGTTTGGAGGTTGCTGACAGTTCAGGCATGGTGTCGGTGATTATGTGGAATGCCCCATGTCCTGAGTGGTTTAAAATTTTGCGAGTTGGTTTAGTTTTTCTGTTTCAAGATTATTCTGTTAAAAAGAATTATCCATTTGTCCCCATGGATCCAGAGATCAAACTAATTTCTACAATGAGTTAAGTATTCAATAAATTTGTTGTCTTATGGCTATTTTATTTATATAAATTTGCAATATACCATATTAGAAATAAGACCATAAAAATTACTGAAACTGTTAGAACCTAACGAAGCTTTAAATTTATTTGTTCATAGAATTTTCAAGCAATCACATAACCTAATAAATATACCTGTTTATTATTTCATTATTAAAAAAATTATCTGAGATATTTATTGTTGATTGAAGAATGAGCTCCACTTGGGTTGTACTTATTTTGTTTTCTTTTACTTTTGGTCACCTAATACTAACTTAACAATGAATATATTTTGCATTTACTACTACTTTCTATCTCAAAAGGACTTCCGTTAACTTTTGTATTGAAATAATTTCAAACTTACATAAACGTTAAAAGAATGGTAGAGAGATCTCTCATATACCCGTTATCCATATTCAACAATTACTAACATTTATCATTGTATCTCTCTCTTCACATATATACATATCTATACACACACACGCACACACACACACACCCATACACACACCATACATACACACGTATGTATATATTCCCTGTGATCCAGTAAGAGAAAGTAGCAGCCATCATACATACCCCTTTAAGCCTAAACACTTCACTAGTATTTCAGTGTATATTTTCTAATAAGAAGAGTATTCTATTACATAATCTGAGTACAATTACCAAAATCAGGAAATTTAAAATTGATACAATACTAATATCTAACCTATAATCAGTATTCAAATTTTGCCAATTCCTGCAATCTTAAAAGGGCTTTTTCTAATTAGTACTGATATCTTGACATCTTAAATATTTTGAACCATTAAAATTAAAGTATTAAATAATTGTTTTTAGATATGAACATGATTTTATTCATTTTCATTTTAAGAATTATAGATTACATTGCTTCAGTTTAAATACTGTTTTTGGTTTATAATAGCTTTACTGAATTTTTGTGTATTCTAAATTTCTCAGCTAATGCACTCAGCTTAATTACTTAGAGAATATTCAGATAAAGGTATCAATTGTTGATTGTTTTCTTAAATATGTGTTAATTTGCAAAAATCTTATATGATTATTTATTAAAATCTTAAGCATTTTGTAGACATTGGTCAGATCTCCCTAAATGAAGAAGTTATTACCTAGATAGTTTGGTACACATAGTCTATTATCTCATTAGTTTTTGCTATAGAAATGTGAGGAACTGAACTGATAGAGATATTGTGATTTTTTTTTTTTAATTTTTATTGGATTATAGGTTTTGGGGTACATGAGCAGAGCATGCAAGACAGTTGCGTAGGTACACACATGGCAGTGTGCTTTGCTTTCCTTCTCCCCTTCACCCACATTTGGCATTTCTCCCCAGGCTATCCCTCCCCACCTCCCCCTCCCACTGGCCCTCCCCTTTTCCCCCCAATAGACCCCAGTGTTTAGTACTCCCTTCTGTGTCCATGTGTTCTCATTTTTCATCACCCACCTATGAGTGAGAATATGCGGTGTTTCATTTTCTGTTCTTGTGTCAGTTTGCTGAGGATGATGTTTTCCAGATTCATCCATGTCCCTACAAACGACACGAACTCATCATTTCTGATTGCTGCATAATATTCCATGGTGTATATGTGCCACATTTTTCCAATCCAGTCTATTATCAATGGGCATTTGGGTTGATTCCAGGTCTTTGCTATTGTAAACAGTGCTGCAATGAACATTCGTGTACATGTGTCCTTAGAGTAGAACGATTTATAGTCTTTTGGATATATACCCAGTAATGGGATTGCTGGGTCAAATGGGATTTCTATTTCTAAGGCCTTGAGGAATCGCCACACTGTCTTCCACAATGGTTGAACTAATTTACACTCCCACCAATAGTGTAAAAGTGTTCCTTTTTCTCCACATCCTCTCCAGCATCTGTTGTCTCCAGATTTTTTAATGATCACTGGCGTGAGATGGTATCTCAATGTGGTTTTGATTTGCATCTCTCTGATGACCAGTGACGATGAGCATTTTTTCATATGACTGTTGGCCTCATATATGTCTTCTTTCGTAAAGTATCTGTTCATATCCTTTGCCCACTTTTGAATGGGCTTGTTTGTTTTTTTCCTGTAAATCTGCTTGAGTTGTTTGTAAATTCTGGATATCAGCCCTTTGTCAGATGGGTAGACTGCGAAAATTTTTTCCCATTCTGTTGGTTGCCGATCCACTCTAGTGACTGTTTCTTTTGCCGTGCAGAAGCTGTGGAGTTTCATTAGGTCTCATTTGTCTATTTTGGCTTTTGTTGCCAATGCTCTTGGTGTGATTTATTAAGAAAACACAATAAAAGATGGTGAGAGGATGCTAATTTACAACATGCCACCTCTGCTATATAGAATTGTAGGACCAGATTTTCATCATGAAAACTCTCTAAGGTATGAGAAACAATTTATTCTTTGTAACTGAAGATACAGAAATTATTTTTTAAATGATAGCCTTGGTGAGAATATATTTACAATGTACATTTTGCTATTTAAAAACAGTTTTACTTCTTATTAATGTTATCAGCAGTCTCTATTTTCTTCCTCATATTTTTGATATGTAACAGGACTTTGCCTTATTTTTCAGAAAACAATAGACTATGTAAAGCACTAAGTAGTAAATATTTTGACTTTCCAGGCTCTATGGTCTCTGTTTCAACTTCTCAGCTCTGTCTTTGTAGACTGAAGGCAGCCATATGTATGTAAAGGAATGGCTATGGCAATATTCCAATAAACATTTATTTACAAAAAGAGGTAGTCATCTACAGCCTGTAGTTTGCCTAGACTACATGTATCAGTAGATTGCAACTCTGGCTGTATATTGGAATCATTTGGGGAGTTTTAAAGAGCCACTGATGCCCCATACTCAAAGATTCTGATGTAATTACTCTGAGAATGGGACCAAGGCATTGCTATGGGGTGTAAAATTTTCCAGCTGATCCCAAAGGTATAGCCAAGGTTGGGAGCTATGCCTTTATGATTTTTAAAAATTACCTATATAAAACTAATGAGTTTTTTATCCTAGCATTTTCTTCATTTTTAATTGGCAAATAATAATTAAACATATTTATAGGGTCTAGTGTAACATTTTGATCTATGTATATACATCATAGAAAAACTCAATCAAATAGCCATCACCTTACTAACTTACCACTTTTCTGTGGTGATAACATTAAAAATCTACTAGTCATTTTGAAATATATAATACATTATTATTAACTGTACTCACCATCCAAGGTGATAGATTCCTAAGACTTATTCCTTTAATTTGACTAAAATTGTACCCTTTGATCAAGATCTAGCTTTTTCCTATCACTGTCCACTTGAGCCACCCTCCCCACCCCACCTCTGGTAACCTCCTTTTTACTCTCTGTTTCTATGAGATTGAATTGAAATAAGCCAGGCACAGAAAGACAAATACTGTAAGATCTAACTCATAAGTGGAATCTAAAAAGCTGATCCTATAGAAACAGAGTAGAAAGGTGACTGTCTTATTTATTTATTTATTTATTTATTTATTTATTTATTTATTGAGACAGAGTCTTGCTGTATCACCCAAACTTAAAGTGCAGTGGTACAATCTCGGCTCACTGCAACCTCCAGCTCCTGGGTTCCAGCGATTCTCCTGCCTCAGCCTCTCAGGTAACTGGAATTACAGGCACACACAACCACGCCCAGCTAAGTTTTATATTTTTGGGAGAGACAGGGTTTCACCATTTTGGCCAGGCTGGGCTTGATCTCCTCACCTCAAGTACTCTACCTGATTTGGCCTCTCAAAATGCTAGAATTACAGGCATGAGCCACCACGCGAGGCCAGAACATGATTAAGTATCTTTTAATGAAAAAAAAGGACAGTTCTATAAATCACGTTAAAAGTCAGTAATATACAGTTCTACTTTTAAAAGTTAGTCTAATGAGATCACACCTATGTAAGATAAACAAATTATAGTAAAATAAAAGACTAATGACAGTAAACCATATTAAAAATGTAATAATGTAACAAAGTAATAATGTAAAAAAAGGAAAAAGAAATGAATAAAAATGTAATTGAAGAAAGAATGAACAGTGAAGTAGGAAAATGTGCTGCATGGGAGAAAGTGTTAAGCAACGATTAGGAAAAATACCAGTGTAACCGGGCACGGTGGCTCATGCCTGTAATCCCAGCACTTTAGGAGGCCGAGGTGGGTGGACCACAAGGTCAATAGATCAAGTCAATCCTTGTCAACATGGTGCAACCCCGTCTCTACTTAAAATACAAAATATTAGCTGGGCATGGTGGTGCGTGCCTGTAATCCCAGCTACTCAGGAGGCTGAGGTAGAAGAATTGCCTGAACCCAAGAGGTGGAGGTTGTGGTGAGCCGAGATCATGCCATTTGCACTCCAGCCTGGGCAACAAGAGCGAAACTCTATCTCAAAAGAAGGGGGGAGAGGTAACCAGTGTGAGAAGGAAGGTATTGGGAAGTAAGCACTTTTCAGACAGAGGCCACAGCCCATTAAAGTCCCTGGGGCAGGACTGCTTCTGGTGGATTGCAGGAAAAGCAAGGAGGTCCCTGTGGCTTGAGGAGAATAAGGAGTGGGAGAGAGGGAGGAGGTGAGGAGAACAGGTTGGGCAGGGCCTGCGAGCCTTGAGAAGGTGGGGGATGTTAAGCAATATATCTTTTAATATAAGTGTTATTGGAAATCAAGAAGCAGGAAATAAACAGTCCAATTTGAGTTTTTGGGTTTTTGAGATGGGGTCTCACTCTGCAACCCAAGTGGGAGTGCAGTGGCATGATCTCAGCTCACTGCAACCTCTGCCTCCCAGACTCAAGTGACTCTTGTGGCTCAGCCTACTGAGTAGCTGGTATTCCAGGCACCAGCCACAATTTGTTGTAATTATAGTAGAGACAGGATTTCACCATAATGGCCAGGCTGGCCTGGAACTACAGACCTCTAGTGGATCAACCTGCCTCATCCTCTAATTCACATTTTAATAAAAAGATATTGGTTGGGGTTTGTGGCTCACACCTGTAATTCCAGCACTTTGGGAGGCCGAGGCAAGTGGATCACCTGAGGTTGGGAGTTTGAGACCAGATTGCACCAAACTGGAGAAATCCTGTTTCTACTAAATACACAAAATTAGCTGGGTATGGTGGCCCATGCCTGAAATCCCAGCAATTTGGAAGGCTTAGGCAGCAAGATCGCTTGAACCTAGGAGGCAGAGGCTGCAGTGAGCCAAGATCCTGCCACTGAACTTGAACCTGGGCAATGAGAGTAAAACTCTGTCTGAAAACAAAGAAATATAACAAAAACAAACAAACAAACAAAAACCTGGGCATGGTGACAGGCACCTGTGGTCCCAGTTACTCAGAAGACTGAGGCAGAAATCACTTGAACCTGGAAGGTGAAGGTTTCAGTTGGGTGAAATCACCCACTGCTCTCCTGCCTGGGAGACAGCAATATTTTGTCTCAAACAAAATGAAAAGCAAAACAAAAGCAAACACTTCTGGGCTCATGTGATCCTCCTACATTAGCCTGTGAAATTGCTGGGATTATAAACATGGGCCACCATGCCCAGCCTGGGCCAACATCTTAATGGAAAAGGGTAACTAGTTTGAGAAGGAAGGTATTTGGGGGTAAGCACTTTCCGGACAGAGGACACAGCCCATGCAAAGGCCCTGGGGCAGGAGCGTGTGGCATATTGGAGGAACAGCAAGGAGGTTCGTGTGGCTTGAGCAGAGTGAGGAGTGAAAAAAAGGGAGCAGGGAAGAAGGATGGGTTGAGCAGGGCCTGTGGGCCTTGGGGAAGTGGGGGAAGTTTAGAAGTTTATCTTTTTTTTTTTTAAATTTTTTATTGGATTTCAGGTTTTGGGGTACATGACATGCAAGACAGTTGCGTAGGTACACACATGGCAGTGTGCTTTGCTTTTCTTCTCCCCTTCACCCACATTTGGCATTTCTCCCCAGGCTATCCCTCCCCACCTCCCCCTCCCACTGGCCCTCCCCTTTTCCCCCCAATAGACCCCAGTGTGTAGTACTCCCCTTTCTGTGTCCGTGTGTTCTCATTTTTCATCACCCACCTATGAGTGAGAATATGCGGTGTTTCATTTTCTGTTCTTGTGTCAGTTTGCTGAGGATGATGTTTTCCAGATTCATCCATGTCCCTACAAATGACACAAACTCATCATTTCTGATTGCTGCATAATATTCCATGGTGTATATGTGCCACATTTTTCCAATCCAGTCTATTATCAATGGGCATTTGGGTTGATTCCAGGTCTTTGCTATTGTAAACAGTGCTGCAATGAACATTCATGTAAATGTGTCCTTATAGTAGAACGATTTATAGTCTTTTGGATATATACCCAGTAATGGGATTGTGGGTCAAATGGAATTTCTATTTCTAAGGCCTTGAGGAATCGCCACACTGTGTTCCATAATGGTTGAACTAATTTACACTCCCACCAACAGTGTAGAAGTGTTCCTTTTTCTCCACATCCTCTCCAGCATCTGTTGTCTCCAGATTTTTTAATGATCGCCATTCTAACTGGCGTGAGATGGTATCTCAATGTGGTTTTGATTTGCATCTCTCTGATGACCAGTGACGATGAGCATTTTTTCATATGATTGTTGGCCTCATATATGTCTTCTTTCATAAAGTGTCTGTTCATATCCTTTGCCCACTTTTGAATGGGCTTGTTTGTTTTTTTCCTGTAAATCTGTTTGAGTTCTTTGTAAATTCTGGATATCAGCCCTTTGTCAGATGGGTAGACTGCAAAAATTTTTTCCCATTCTGTTGGTTGCCGATCCACTCTAGTGACTGTTTCTTTTGCCGTGCAGAAGCTGTGGAGTTTCCTTAGGTCCCATTTGTCTATTCTTTTGTTGCCAATGCTTTTGGTGTTTTGTTCATAAAGTCCTTGCCTACTCCTATATCCTGGATAGTTTTGCCTAGATTTCCTTCTAGGGTTTTTATGGTGCCAGGTCTTATGTTTAAGTCTTTAATCCATCTGGAGTTAATTTTAGTGTAAGGTGTCAGGAAGGGGTCCAGTTTCTGCTTTCTGCACATGGCTAGCCAGTTTTCCCAACACCATTTGTTAAACATGGAATCCTTGCCCCATTGCTTGTTTTTGTCAGGTTTATCAAAGATTGTATAGTTGTATGTATGTTGTGTTGCCTCCGGTGCCTCTGTTTTGTTCCATTGGTCTATATCTCTGTTTTGGTACCAGTACCATGCTGTTTTGATTACTGTAGACTTATAGTATCGTTTGAAATCCGGTAGTGTGATGCCCTCCACTGTGTTCTTTTTGCTTAGAATTGACTTGGCTATGCGGGCTCTCTTTTGGTTCCATATGAAGTTTCTGTGAAGAAAGTCAGTGGTAGCTTGATGGGGATAGCATTGATTCTGTAAATTACTTTGGGCAGTATAGCCATTTTCACGATATTAATTCTTCCTAACCATGAACATGGAATGTTTCTCCATCTGTTTGTGTCCTCTCTGATTTCTTTGAGCAGTGATTTGTAGTTCTCCTTGAAGAGGTCTCTTACGTTCCTTGTGAGTTGTATTCCAAGGTATTTTATTCTTTTTGTAGCAATCACGAATGGCAGTTCGCTCTTGATTTGGCTTTCTTTAAGTCTGTTGTTGGTGTAGACGAATGCTTGTGATTTTTGCACATTGATTTTATATCCTGAGACTTTGCTGAAGTTGCTTATCAGTTTCAGGAGTTTTTGGGCTGAGGCGATGGGGTCTTCTAAGTATACTATCATGTCGTCTGCAAATAGAGACAATTTGGTTTCCACATTTCCAATTTGAATACCATTTATTTCTTTTTCTTGCCTGATTGCTCTGGCTAGAAGTACTATATTGAATAGGAGTAGTGAGAGAGGGCATCCTTGTCTAGTGCCAGATTTCAAAGGGAATGCTTCCAGTTTTTGCTCATTCAGTATGATATTGGCTGTTGGTTTGTCATAAATAGCTTTTATTACTTTGAGATACGTTCCATAGATACCGAGTTTATTGAGGGTTTTTAGCATAAAGGGCTGTTGAATTTTGTCAAATGCCTTCTCTGCGTCGATTGAGATAATCATGTGTTTTTTGTTTTTGGTTCTGTTTATGTGGTGAATTACGTTGATAGACTTGCGTATGTTGAACCAGCCTTGCATCCCCGGGATGAATCCTACTTGATCATGATGAATAAGTTTTTTGATTTGCTGTTGCAATCAGCTTGCCAATATTTTATTGAAGATTTTTCCATCTATGTTGATCATGGATATTGGCCTAAAGTTTTCTTTTCTCGTTGGGTCTCTGCCGGGTTTTGGTATCAGGATGATGTTGGTCTCATAAAATGGATTCCCTCTTTTTGGATTGTTTGAAATAGTTTTAGAAGGAATGGTACCAGCTCCTCCTTGTGTGTCTGGTAGAATTCGGCTGTGAACCCGTCTGGACCTGGGCTTTTTTTGTGTGGTAGGCTCTTAATTGCTGCCTCAACTTCAGACCTTGTTATTGGTCTATTCATAGTTTCAGCTTCCTCCTGGTTTAGGCTGGGAGGACGCAGGAGTCCAGGAATTTATCCATTTCTCCCAGGTTTACTAGTTTATGTGCATAGAGTTGTTTGTAATATTCTCTGATGATGGTTTGAATTTCTCTGGAATCTGTGGTGGTTTCTCCTTTATCATTTTTTATTGTATCTATTTGGTTGTTCTCTCTTTTATTTTTAATCAATCTGGCTAGTGGTCTGTCTATTTTGTTGATCTTTTCAAAGAACCAGCTCTTGGATTTATTGATTTTTTGAAGGGTTTTTTATGTTTCAATCTCCTTCAGCTCAGCTTCTGCTGGGTTTTGAGTTTTTTGATCTTGCTCCTCTAGCTCTTTCAATTTTGACGATAGGGTGTCAATTTTGGATCTCTCCATTCTCCTCATATGGGCACTTATTGCTATATACTTTCCTCTAGAGACTGCTTTAAATGTGTCCCAGAGGTTCTGGCACGTTGTGTCTTCGTTCTCATTGGTTTCGAAGAACTTCTTTATTTCTGCCTTCATTTCGTTGTTTACCCAGTCAACATTCAAGAGCCAGTTGTTCAGTTTCCATGAAGCTGTGCGGTTCTGGGTCGGTTTCTGAATTCTGAGTTCTAACTTGATTGCACTATGGTCTGAGAGGTTGTTTGTTATGATTTCAGTTGTTTTGCACTTGTTGAGCAGTGCTTTACTTCCAATTATGTGGTCAATTTTTGAGTAGGTGTGATGTGGTGCTGAGAAGAATGTGTATTCTGTGGATTTGGGGTGGAGAGTTCTGTAAATGTCTATCAGGTTTGCTTGCTCCTTCAAGCCCTGGATATCCTTGTTGATTTTCTGTCTGGTTGATCTGTCTAGTATTGACAGTGGAGTGTTAAAGTCTCCCACTATTATTGTGTGGGAGTCTAAGTCCTTTTGTAAGTCCTTAAGAACTTGCCTTATGTATCTGGGTGCTCCTGCATTGGGTCTATATATGTTTAGGATCGTTAGCTCTTCTTGTTGTATCGATCCTTTTACCATTATGTAATGGCCTTCTTTTTCTCTTTTGATCTTTGTTGCTTTAAAGTCTATTTTATCAGAGATGAGAATTGCATCTCCTGCTTCTTTTTGCTTTCCATTAGCTTGGTAAATCTTCCTCCATCCCTTTATTTTGAGCCTTTGTGTATCCTTGCAGGTGAGATGGGTTTCCTGGATACAGCACTCTGATGGGTTTTTGGATTTTTATCCAATTTGCCAGTCTGTGTCTTTTGATTGGTGCATTTAGTCCATTTACATTTAGGATTAATATTGTTATGTGTGAATTCTGCCATTTTGATGCTAAGTGGCTGTTTTGCCTGTTAGTTGTTGTAGATTCTTCATTATGTTGAAGCTCTTTAGCATTCAGTGTGATTTTGGAATGGCTGGTACTGGTTGATCTTTTCTATGTGTAGTGCCTCTTTTAGGAGCTCTTGTAAAGCAGGCCTGGTGGTGACAAAATCTCTGAGTACTTGCTTGTTCGCAAAGGATTTTATTTTTCCTTCACTTCTGAAGCTCAGTTTGGCTGGATATGAAATTCTGGGTTGAAAGTTCTTTTCTTTAAGAATGTTGAATATTGGCCCCCACTCTCTTCTGGCTTGTAGTGTTTCTGCCGAGAGATCTGCTGTGAGTCTGATGGGCTTCCCTTTGTCCATGACCCGACCTTTCTCTCTGGCTGCCCTTAGTGTTCTCTTTTTATTTCAACCCTGTTGAATCTGACGATTATGTGCCTTGGGGTTGCTCTTCTTGCGGAATATCTTTGTGGTGTTCTCTGTATTTCCGAGTGTTGGCCTGTCTTGCTAGGTGGGGGAAATTTTCCTGGATGATGTCCTGAAGAGTATTTTCCAGCTTGGATTCATTCTCTTCGTCCCCTTCTGGTACACCTATCAAACGTAGGTTAGGTCTTTTCACATAGTCCCACATTTCTTGGAGACTTTGTTCATTCCTTTTTGCGCTTTTTTCTCTGATCTTGGTTTCTCATTCTATTGCATTGAATTGGTCTTCGACTTCAGATATTCTTTCTTCTGCTTGGTCAATTCGGCTATTGAAACTTGTGTTTGCTTCGCGAAGTTCTCATATTGTGTTTTTCAGCTCCTTTAATTCATTCATATTCCTCTCTAAGTTATCCATTCTTGTTATCATTTCCTCGAATCTTTTTTCAAATCTTTTTTCAAGGTTCTTAGTTTCTTTGCATTGATTTAATACATGATCTTTTAGCTCACAAAAGTTTCTCATTATCCATCTTTTGAAGTCTGATTCCATCATTTCGTCACAGTCATTCCGTCCAGCTTTGTTCCCTTGCTGGTGAGGAGTTTTGGTCCTTTCTAGGAGGCGAGGTGTTCCGGTTTCGGGTGTTTTCCTCCTTTTTGCGCTGGTTTCTTCCCATCTTTGTGGATTTGTCCGCTGGTCGTCTGCGTAGTTGCTGACTTTTCGATTGGGTCTCTGAGTGGACACCCAGAATGTTGAGGATGAAGTATTTCTGTTGCTTGGTTTTCCTTCTACCAGTCTAGCCCCTTCTCTGTATGACTGCTGAGGTCCGCTCCAGACCCTGCTTGTCTGGGGTGCACCTCTAGCAGCTGTGGCACAGCGAGGGATGCTACCAGTTTCTTTTTCTGCTATCTTTGTCCCAGGATGATGCCTGCCTAATGTCAGTCTTTTGGATATAGAGGGGTCAGGGAGCTGCTTGAGGAGACAGTTTGTACTTTATAGGGGTTTAATTGCTGAGCTGTGCGCTCTGTTGTTCCTTCAGGGCTGTTAGGTTGCTATGTTTGCTCATTAAAAAAACCCTTTTTTTTCTCAAATGCTCTGTGTTGAGGGGTTTGGGCTTTATTTTTGGATGTTCGATGAGGTGTCCTGTTCAGCTAGAAGGCAGACTAGCCACTGTTTGGTTGCTGAGGCTCCGCCCTGCTTTTGTGTGATTCGCCCTGTTCCTGCAGGCTCTGCTGTGGTCTCCGCCATGCCCTGCGGTGGAGTCTCTTCGTTGTAGCGTGTTGCCTCAGCAATGGCAGGCTGCATCAGCAGTGGGCGTGTATCTCAGTAGGGACAGGTTGCCTCGGCAATAGCTGGCTGCGTCAGCAGTGGGCGTGTATCTCAGTTGGGGCGGGTTGCCTCGGCAACAGCTGGCTGCGTCAGCAGTGGGCGTGTATCTCAATTGGGGCGGGTTGCCTCGGCAACGGCTGGCTGCGTCAGCAGTGGGCGTGTATCTCAGTTGGGGCGGGTTGCCTCGGTAGTGGTGGACGCCCCTCCCCCACAGAGCATCTCGGACCGACCGTCTGCTTGGGATAGTTTGAAATCGCGGTTTTGTTCGTCACACTGGGTATCCCAAACGATCTGTCCCTGCAATCCCCTGGGCTGGGCTACTGTCCAAGTCTCGTTCAGTCTCAAGTGCAGCCCTCTCAAGTCTCAGGTTGCCGGTTCAACAAGGCACCCGGACAAGCGCGCCCTGTGGGGATTGCTTGGTAGGGCCGGCCGCCACAGACTTACTGCCTGGCGTCCCGTGTCTTTTTATACTTGGGAGTTTCCCCGTTCTGTGGGCAACAAAGATCAGTCTGGAAATGCAGCTTTAACTCACCGTTTGTGGATTCAACGCGAGCTCCAATCCTGGGTTGTTCTCACAGTGCCATCTTGAGTCGGTTTTTTTGAGAAGTTTATCTTTCAATGTAGGTGTGATAGAAAATCAGGAAGCAGGGAATAAACTGCCCAATTTGAGTTTTATTTTTTTTTTTTTTTTGAGATCGAGTCTCACTCTGGCACCCAGGAGGGAGTGCAGTTGGTGTGATCTCGGCTCACTGCAACTTTTGCCTTCCAGATTCAAGTGACCCTTCAGGATCAGCCTCCTGAGTAGCTGGTATTACAGGCGCCTGCCACCATTCCCAGCCTATTTTTGTAATTGTCGTAGAGACAGAATTGCATCATGATGACCAGTCTGTTCTAGAATTTCTGACCTCTAGTTGATCAACCTGTCCCAGCCTCCAATTTACATTTTAATAAAAAATATTGTTTGGGGTTGGTGGCTCACATCTGTAATTCCAGCACTTTGGGTGGCTGAGGCAGGTGAATCACCTGAGGTTGGGAGTTTGAGACCAACCTAAGATGGAGAAATCCCATTTCTACTAAATATACAAAATTATCTGGGCATGATGTTGCATGCCTGTAATCACAGTCATTTGTTAGGCTGAGGCAGTAGAATTGCTTGAACATGGGAAGCGGTGGTTGCAGTGAGACTAGACCCTGCCACTGAACACCAACTTTGGCAACTAGAGTAAAGTCTGAAAAAAAAAACCTAGGCATGATGGCAGGAACCTGTAGTCTCAGCTACTCAGAAGGCTGAGGCATGAGAATCTCTTGAACCTAGAAAGTGGAGGTGTCAGTGGGCTGAAATCACCCACTGCACTCCTGTCTTGGTGCAGAGCAAGATTATGTCTCAAACAAAACAAAAAGCAAAACAAAAGCAAACACTTCTGGGCTCATGTAATCCTCCTACCTCAGCCTGCGAAATTGCTGGAATTATAAGCAAGTGCCACCATGCCCAACCTGGGCCAAGATGTTAATAGAAAGTGGTAACCAGTGTGAGAAGTAAGGAATTGTGGGCTAAGCACTTTCTAGACAGAGGGCACAGCACATGAGAGTGAGAATCTGCATTTTTAGCACCCGGAATTGTTTTTCTCTCCACAGGACAAGGTGACAACGGGTCTCCCTGTACAGGCAGTCAAAGCAATTTGAGGAAAACACATTGTAGCAAGATGATGATGTTTTCCGTAAAGTGACTAAGATCCATTAGCATGTTGTGCTTGGCTTCCTTGAAGGTCCTCAGCGGCATAACTGGACATCCGTCTCGGGATTGGGCTTTGCACCAGAAAGTTTCTGAGATACTCTCTCCATCAGATCCGCCCCCGGCGGAGGCCAGTTGCGGGTGTGGCCACCTCTGCGGCTGGCTGGGCAGGCCGCTTTGTCTTTGTTCACATCTTTTCCGGCCAGCAGCGCTGAGAAGCAGGGTTTGGAGACCAAGGCAGGGCCCCTTGGTGGGTGGACCAGGTCGAAGCGGGGCAGTGAGCTCATGGAGCCGGGCAACGTTCTGCTGACACCCTCCCAGAGGGTCTCAGGCATCTTTCTGAGGTCCACCGACCCCCGCCACACATCACCAGACTGAATCTCCAGCCCCGCGGGACCCAATCGCTGCCCACGCCATCCGATCTGGAATCCAGTGGGAAGAGCAGACCCTAGTGCCCACCTCACGGTATCAAGACCCAAACAGGAAAGTCGACTCAGGGAGCCACTGAGGTCAGGACGGTCGGGCTCCTGCTCAGCTTGTGGCAGGCAGCCTCCTTCCCTGGGGCCGCCTGGGACACCGCCACCAGCATTTTCTGGTGCCACTGAGGCTCCTCTGCCACAGAGCGCCCACGTTGCCGCTGGCCAGCCAGGCACGCCAATGTGCATGTGCAAGTGGCGCATCACAAGCGCTAGCGTCCATCCGCGGCTCGCATCACAGTGACAGTCCCTGTGGCCTGGGGAACGGCCGTCTCAGGGGCTTGGCAGAACAGCGGCCTTCAGTGGAAGTGCCTGGACCTTAGGCAATGGCCCCCCTCTCCCCGAGATCGTCGCCAGGGTCTCGCGATTTCAGGAGTCCAGCAGGGCGGGACCAGGCTGAGAAAAGCTGCAGCGGAGCTTCAGGGATGCACAGGGCGATCCCCAAGGATTCCCACGGTGCTTCAGGCCTGCTCAGACTTGAAAGCTGTCCCTGCTGGGATTTCCAGGTACCGCCAGCCTGTGTGCCCTGGGGCTGCTCTCTCCCGGAGAAGCTTCCCAGGAGAGAGCAGAACTCCTCAGCCTCAGGAGCTGCTTGCAACTGTTGGATGACTGCGCGAGCGCATGTGTGTGTATGTGTGTGTGTGTGTGTGTGTGTGTGTGTGTGTGTGTGTGTGTGTATCTGTGTGCGTCTGCAGGGGTCCCTGGGCTTCCAGACCAAGGCAGAGCCCCTTGGTGGGTGGCCCAGGTTGAAGTGGGGCAGTGAGCTCATGGAGCCATGGAATGTTCAGTTGTTGGAGGAACAGCAAAGAGGTCCCTGTGGCTGGAGCAGGGTGGGGGGGAGAGAGAGGGAGGAGGGGAGGGAGGAGGGAAGTAAGGCCTGTTGGGCAGGGCCTGCAGGCCTTGGGGAGGTGAGGGAAGTTGAGCAGTGTATCTTTTAATGTAAGTGTGCTGGGAAATAAGGAAGCCCAATTTAATTTTTGGTGTTTTTTTTTGAGGAGTTTCATTCTGTCACTCAGGTGGGAGTGCACAGGTGTGATCTCAGCTCACTGCAACCTCCGCCTCCCAGATTCAAGTGATTCTTGTGGCTCAGCCTCCTGAGTAGCTGGTATTATTGGCACCCACCACCATGCCCAGCTAACTTTTGTAATTGTAATAGAGAAAAGGTTTCACCATAATGGCCAGGCAGGTCTGGAATTACTGACCTCAAGTGGATCTACCTGTCTCTGCCTCCAATTTAGGTTTTAATGAAAAGATATTGGTCGGGGTTGGTGGCTCATGGCTTTAATCCCAGCACTTTGGTAGGCTGAGGCAGGTGGATCTCCTGAGGTTGTGAGTTCCAGACCAGCCTGACCAAGATGGAGAAATCCCGTTACTATTAAATATACAAAATTAGCTGGGCATGGTGGTGTATGCCTGTAATCTTAGCCATTTGGGAAGGTGAGGCACGGTAATCAGTAAGAAGCAAAGTTTGCAGTGAGCTAAGATCATGCCACTGAACTCCAAACTGGGCAACAAAAGTAAAACATTGTCTCAAAAAACAAAAAAAAAATAATGGGCATGGTGGCAGGCACCTGTGGTTCCAGCTACTCAGAAGGCTGAGGCAGTAGAATCACTTGAACCTGAAAGGTGGAGGTTTCAGTTAGCTGAAGTCACTCACTTAACTCCTGCCTGGGTGACAGAGCAAGATTCTATCTCAAACAAAACAAAAGCAAACAATTCTGGGCTCATATGATCCTCCTACCTCAGCCTGCGAAATTGCTGGGGTTATCAGCATGTACTCCCATGCCCAGCCTGGCTCAAGATCTTAATAATAAGGGGTAACCAGTGTAAGAAGAAAGGTATTGGGGGTTAATCACTTTCCAGACAGAGGGAACAGACCATGTAAAGTTTCTGGGGCAGGACTATTTCTGGCAGGTTGGAGGAACAGCAAGGAGGTCCCTGTGGCTTGAGGAAGTGGGAGAGAGGGAGGAGGTAAGGAGGACGGGTTGGGCAGGACCTGCGGGCCTTGGGGAAGTGGGGTATGTTAAGCCGTTTATCTTTTAATGTAAGTGTGATGGGAAATAAGGAAGCAGGGAAGAAACAGTCCAATTTGAGTTTTTGGGTTTTTTTTGAGACTGGGTCTCACTCTGTAACCCAGGTGGGAGTACAGTGACATGATTTCAGCTCATTGCAACCTCTGCCTCCCAGACTCAAGTGACTCCTGTGGCTCAGCCTACTGAGTAGCTAGTATTCAAGGCACCAGCCACCATGCCTGGCTAATTTCTGTAATTATAGTAGAGACGGGATTTCACCATAATGGCCAGGCTGGCCTGGAACTACAGACCTCTAGTGGATAAAACTGCCTCAGTTTTCAATTTATGCTTTAATTATAAGATATTGGTCAGTGTTGGTGGCTCACACCTCTAATCCCAGCACTTTGGGAGGGGGAGTCAAGTGGATCACCTGAGGTTCGAGACCAGACTGACCAAGATGGAGAAATCCAGTTTCTACTAAATATACAAAATTAGCTGGGCATGGTGGCCCATGTCTGTAATCCCAGCAATTTGGAAGGCTGAGGCAGCAGGATCGCTTGAACCTGGGAGGTGGAGGCTGCAGTGAGCCAAGATACTGCCACTGAACACGAACCTGGGCAATGAGAGTAAAACTCTGTCTGAAAACAAAACAGAAAACAAACAACAACAACAAAAAAAAAACTGGGCATGGTGGCAGGCACCTGCAGTCACAGCTACTCAGAAGGCTGAGGCAGCCGAATCACTTGAACCTGGAAGGTGGAGGTTTCACTTGGCTGAAATCACCCACTGCACTCTTGCCTGGGTGACAGAGCAATATTCTGTCTCAAACAAAATGAAAAGCAAAACAAAAGCAAACCCTTCTGGGCTCATGTGATCCTCCTACCACACCCTGCAAAATTGCTGGGATTATAAACACTGGCCACCATGCCCAGCCTTGGCCAGTGGCCAGTGTCTTAATGGAAAGGGGTAACCTGTGTGAGAAGGATGGTATTTGGGGGTAAGCACTTTCCGGACAGAGGACACAGCCCATGCATAGGCCCTGGGGCAGGAGTGTGTGTGTCGTGTTGGAGGAACAGCAAGGAGGTCCGTGTGGCTTGAGCAGAATAAGGAATGAGAGAGAGGGAGCAGGAAAGGACAATGGGTTGGGCAGGGCCTGTGGGCCTTGGGGAGGTGGGGGAAGTTAAGCAGTTTATTTTTTAATGTATGTGTGATGCGAAAACTGGAAGAAGGGAATAAACTGTACAATTTGAGTTTGGGGTTTGTTTGTTTGTTTTTGAGATGGAGTCTCACTCTGGCACCCAGGAGGGAGTGCAGTGGCATGATCTTGGCTCACTGCAACCTTTGCCTCCCAGATTCAAGTGACCCTTCAGGCTCCTGAGTAGCTGGTATTACAGGCACCTGCCACCATTCCTGCCATAATGGCCAGGCTGGCCTTGAACTACAGACTTCTAGTGGATCAACCTGTTGAAATTGTATCTTGTGGAACCTTTTAGAGACTTGTTGAATGGGTGTATAATCATGTGCACAATAAAATCAAGGCTGAGGTCATCTCAAGTGGAGATGAGGAACTTGTTGGTAACTGAGGAAAAGGTGACTCTTACTTTAGCAAAGAGACTAGCAGCATTCTTCCCCTGCACTACAGATTTGTGGAAGTTTGAACTTGATAGAGATGACTTAGTATATCCGGCAGAAGAAATTTGTAAGGAGCAAAGCATTCAAGAGATAACTTGGGTGCTATTAAAGGCATTAGGATTTATAAGGGAAGCAGAGCATAAAAGCTTGAAAAATTTGCAGCTTGGCAATATGATAAAAAGAAACCCCCTTTTCTGAGAAGAAATTCAAGCTTGCTGCAGAAATTTGCATAAGTAATGAGTGGAATATTAATCCCAAAGACAAAAAGGAAAATGTCCCCAGGGCCTCCAGGGCCTGTCAGAGGCCTTCACAGCAGCTCTTTCCATCACAGGCCTAGAGGCCTCGGAGGAAAAAAAAGTTTTGTGTACCAGGCCCAGGTGCCCCTCTGCTCTTTGTAGCTTAGGGAATTGGTTCCCTGTATCTCAGCCACTCCAGCTGTGGTTGAAAGGGGCAAATGTACAGCTCAGGCTATGGCTTCAGAGGGGGCATGCCTCAAACCTTAGCAGCTTCTTTATGGTGCTAAGCCTGCCAGTGCACCAAAGTCAAGAAGTGGGGTTTGGGAACCTCTGTTTAGATTTCAGAGGATAGATAGAAACACCTGAATGTCCAGGCAGAAGTTTGCTGTGGGGGCAGGGCTCTCATGGAGAACCGCTGATAGGGCAGTGCAGTAGGGAAATGTGGAGTCAGAGTCCCCACCAAGAGTCCCTACTAGAGCATTGCCAAGTGGAGCTGTGAGAAGAGGGCCACTGTCCTCCAGACTCCAGAATGGTAGATCCAGTCCATGCACCTGGAAAAGCCACAGACACTCAATGCCAGTCCATGAAAGCAGCTGAGAAGGAGGCTGTAACCTG